AGGGGGAGAAGCAATAGAAAGGGATGATAATGAGGCAAACAGACAACAGTTCAGAGGGAGGGAATAACAGGGAGAGAGCAGGGGAGGAAGCAAATGGCAGGTAAGAAGCAGCTTCCTAATTGGTGTGGATAGAAAGGAAGTTACTCTAGGTTATTGTGAGTTCAGAGAAATTTAACTTGATTTTTTTTTGCTTTAAAATATTTATGAGATTAATCTGTACTCTTTATCTTTGACCTCTGTCCTAATTGGCATAGGGTAGGATGGGGCGAATGACATCTAAGGCATCATGCTGTCTCCCTCTGGGAAGGACAGATGCTGCTACCTCACTTGGCCCCGTGCTTTCACCCAGTGTGAAAGCTAGTTTGGCCCAGTGCTGTTAAATATGGAAATGATGAGGTGTCCTGCTGCTGCCGAAGTGCAGACCAAGAGGGCTTTGTGTTTGGTACGTCCTGCTTCCCTATGACGGTTTTTCAGAGACAACACCAAGCCACTCCTTTGTGAAGCCTGTCCACATCTCTGTAGTGACACAGATTTCCTTTGGGCATGTTTCTTACCCCCTTGCAATTTTGAAATTTTCCTCAATACAGAACCAAAAGCAAAACAGGAGCTAAGTGGTTCTGCTCTCTTCATCATATGTTAGCATTACACCATCTGCCCCAAAGCAGTGGGCCCGAGGCTTCTCTCTTGTTCTTGCTGTACATGGATTTTTATATCCTCTTATTGTTCCTAACTTTTCCACCAGCCCCCGCTCATTCTGGGCTCTTACTTGCATGATTCTCCTTGTTTCACACCACTCTTGGGTTCATTTGACTTTCCTCCCTCCCTGCCCCCTTCTGGTAAGTGTCTCAAGATTCTGAATTTCCCACCCCAAACTGCAATCATAGCTGATTCCTTAGATGTCACTTTCCTTTCTTATGTGGGATTTATTTACCCTTATAATGTCTTAAGTTCATTTTTTAGAAGGTTAAACCCCTTCTTTCTTTCTTTCTTTCTTTCTTTTTAAATCTTATCACAATCATTTATGCTTGTGGTATTATACAGCTTTTTTCTTTGAAGCTGATAAAATTAACTTTCCTGGGACTCACAAACTTCAGTATTCCTTTTGCTGACTATCAGTCACTCCATGCTGATGTGTGCCTTCTCACAGAGCTTTTCCCTACAGCATGGGTTTATGTTGGTAGGTCAGAATTCAACTCCAAGAAGTAGTCCTTTTATTACTTCTTCCACCCAATGAAGGAAAAAAGATTCATGGGCTAATAACTCACATACCTCCACAGGTTAGATTTCCACTGCATCATGTTTTCAACTAGACAGACAGACAGACAGACAGATAGATAGAATCATATCTATAACCAACCTTAGGTTGGTTATCACTTAGATAAATATAAATTTCTTTTTTAAAAACATTAAACTCTGAATCATATTAAATGTACTATAGAACACTTAAACCATAAATATACTCCTAAATAATTACACTTAGTGTATTTGGTACACTTTATGTACCAAAATGGAGAGCTGCGAGCATTCTAGAAGGCCCTGTGGCCTCATCTTGGTTACCACCACCTTTGACCAGAGGCATCACCATCCTGACTTTTATGGCAAATACTTCCCATCTTCTCTGTTTAAATTTGCCACCAAACGACTCCTTCAGACAGCAGTTTGATTCAGCCTGTTTCAGAACATTATAGACTGAATTAAGCAGAGCAAGTCTTTGGGACGGGCTTGCAGTATACTGTTGTTGCCTGTTACAGTGTCTTCTAATCCATCTTTTGAAGTGGGCCTATTCACTCACTATGTGGGACTGCATGAGTTTGCTGGGGGTAGCTTCTTTTTCTTGTTGACTGTTGGTGTCAAGTCTTTGACTCTTTCCCATGAGGAATTTGTGTAATTTCTTATAAATATTTGGTAAAACTGACGAACCAGTGACACAGTTTCTGCTGGTTTGGGTTTTGTCGTTTAAAAACAATTTGGTTGATTGTTGTTTAACAAGGGGAAGGAACAGGCAGGAGAATTTTTTTAAAATATACATTTAATTTATTTAATAGTAGCTAGGTGCCTACAATCTCTAGAAGGTAGAAGGAGGTAGAAACAGGAGAATCAAGGAGCTCAAGGCCAGCCTCGGCTCCATAGCAAAATTGAGGCAATCCTGGACTAGATGAGACCCTATCCCAAAAAACAAGAAAAACGAAATTAATTTTTATGTGACCATTTAGGCTTTGATTTTTATCAGTTTGACAAATTATAGTTTTGTAGACATTTCTCCATTTTATCTAATTTTTCTAACTTAGTGACATAAATTTATTCATAATTCCTTTTGGTTTTGTTTTCAAGACAAGGTCTCTCTGTGTGTAGCCCTGTCTCCCAGAACTCTCTTTGTAGATCAGACTGGCCTTGAATTTAGAGATCCATCTGCTTCTGCCTCTGCCTCCTGAGTGCTGGGATTAAAGGTGTGCACCACTACATCTGGCTTATTCATAATTTCTTATTATCGTTTTAATTCTTTTAGATTTTGTAGTGATGCCCCCTTTTGGTAATTTGTGTCTGCTTTTAAAACAACTTTTTTGAAGCTTATGGGTTTTAACTCTTCCCAAAAGCAGTTCTGTTTTGTTAATCTGTGTACCCGTTTCTTTGTCTAAGTTTTACTCACATCTGTGTCCTTCTCTCCTTTTTACATTTGCCTTTGCTTTTGTATTTCTTGCAGGTTCTTGAGATGGATATTTAGCTTGCTAATTTGTATCCATTCTTTTTTTTGTTTTTCAAATAAAAGAAAAGCCCAGAGAAAGCTGTATATGTCAACTGCATGGAGGGGAGGCTTAGAATAGAGAAGAGGATGGTTGCTCATGGGTAAGGGAACACAAATTGTTAGGAAATTTAAAAGCATGTGTAGGCTCTGTCAAGCATTTGAAAGGAAAAGACAGAAGAGAAGAAAAAGGAAAGGGAACTGTCTTAGTCAGTGTTCTGTTGCCGTGAAGAAACTCCATGACCAAGGCAACTTTTGTAAGAGAAAGAATTTAATTGGGTGTTAGTCTACAGTCATGATGTGGGGAGCATGGCAAATGTAGGCAGACATGGTTCTGGAAAGGCTGATTTGCAGGAGCAAGAGAGAGAGAGGAAGAAAAAGAGAGCCACTGGACCTTAAAGCCTACCCCCAAGTGACAACACCTTCTCCAACCAGGCCACATCTTCTCCAACTGGGCCACACCTAATTCTTCTCAAGTAGGGCCACCCCTGGATGACTAAACATTCATATATATGAGCCCATGGGGACAATTCTTATTCAAAGATATATATATCTTTGGAGAAGTATACTCCTAACTCTTTTACGGAGCACTACAACTTTTAATATGTATTACTTTTCTTTGCATTCAGGCCATAGGATTTTAATTTCCATTGTGACTTCTTTCTTTACCTGCAGACTATTTAGAAATATCTTTCTTACTTCTATATATAAATAGATATATTTTAATTAATGATTTCAAATTTAACTTAATTATGCTCAGAGTACATGCAGTCATTGTTTTTGAAATTTGTGAAAGTTGCTTTAACATTGTTTTTTATGTTTATATTTTTAGTATATGGGTTAATCTAAGCAACTTATATCAAGCTGTGTTAACTTTCTTATTCAAACACTTTATACCTAATATACCCTTGCCATTTGTTTTATTAATTACTATGGATTCTTAAGACCTTTTTCTATGACTGAATTTAATTAAAACTTTGGGCTGGGGAGATGGCTCAGTGGATAAAGCATTTGCCACTTAAGCATAAGGACCACAGACAGGCAGGCAGGGTGGCACCTGTCACCACAGCACTTGGGCGGCAGAGACAGGGAATGCCTAGAACAAGCCGTCTGGCTAGACTCGCTGGAATAGTGTACTCCAGGTTCAGTCAGAGACCCTGCCTCAGAAAATGAAGAAGAACTACAAAGAAAGACACTTGCTATCAAATTTGTGCCCTCCACATGCATGTGTTTCGTTACCACATGCACCCACACACATCCAAACTCACACATATACATATAGAAAGGAAACAATTTGTAGTTCTGTCAGCTTTCGTGTGATATGTATTCCATCTGTGTTGTTATATATTTCTGAAGAGAATCTTATTATAAAGTGGTTCTCTATTTCTGGTAATGTGTTAGCTTTAAAGTCTGTTTATCTGACAGTAATGTTGCTGTAGTCATTCATGGGAGAGGGATGCTAGGGTTTATGTGATTTTTTTTTTTTTACTCTTTTCATTTGAACCATTTTGTTTTTATGTTTAAATGCATCTCTTTTGTTTGTTTATCCAATCTTAAAATAATCTTTATTTTATAAAAATATTTAATTTATATTTGATATAATTATTTTTTATTTCATTTGTTCTTTATGTGCTTTTTTAATATTTTACTTTTATTTTATGTATAGAGTATATGTCTGTACACCACATGCATGCTGCACACATGGAACCCAGTAGAAGTCACCAGGTCCTCTGGAACTGGAGTTTGAGAGGGTTATTATCTGCCGTGTGAATGCTGGGAATTGAACCTGGGTCTTCTAGAAGCAGCTACTGCTCATAACTTCTGAGCCATCTTTTTAGCCTCTATTACATGCTTCTATCTTTCGATTTGTTGGTTCTTTTTTCATTTTATCTTTACTCATTTTGAAATTGTTTACTTTTATCAGAAATTATATCTGTGACCTAACCATACAGATCATGTGGGTCCTTAGAATATTTTAGTTCCGTATGTGTCCCACAGTGCTAGTTGTACAGCATTTATAGTGTAGCAGTCACATGTAATAAAGGAAAAATGACTATATGAATTCAAAGTTTGAGGGCATGGATTCTAAATATGTTAGATTTGGCCAGCCAAGAGAGATGAGGGAAATTGAAAAACTGTATGCCTCTGTGGTAGACAATATGTACTAATTTGCATTCAAAACCACTGTAGCAAATTATTCTAAGAAATAGGTCTTACCTTGAGAGATGGTTCTGGTAATATTTCTTTTTTTCATTCATAGCAACTCCGCTCTAATATTCGAGAAATGGAAAAGCTTTGCTTGAAAGTCCACAAGGATGACCTGGTTCTTCTGAAGAGGATGATCGATCCTGTTAAGGAAGCAGCAGCAGCAGCCACAGCAGAGTTTCTCCAGCTCCACTTGGAGTCTGTTGAAGAACTCAAGAAACAATTTAATGAAGAAGAAGCTTTATTACAGCCTTCTCTGACCAGATCCACAACTGTTGGTGGTAACATGTCTTACTCTTGATCCTAGTGCCGTTAGCTAATGCCCCTCTCCTCAGGTAGAAGGGACACAGAGAGGCCTTGTACGTTCCTAAACAGACCAGATATGTGCACCCTGGAAATTTTGCAAGATAAAATTGTGTGGATTGGAACTTTAAGTACCTGCTTGCCCATGTGTTGAAGTAGAAAGCTAAAGTTACTACTAAAAATAATGTTGCCCTTGTGTGTGGTGTGCACCTCTCTCCTCTCCAGTGTGGGACAAGCTGGTTGTGGATTTGGTTGTTTTTACTTTTTGCTCTTTGAGGGGCCCACCACCCTACTCCCAGATAAATACACAGAGACTTAGTCTTACTTACAAATGTCCAACCTTGATTTGGCTTGTTTCTAGCCAGCTTTTCATAAATTATCCATCTACCTTTTGCCTCTGGTCTTTTACCTCTTTCTATTTCTGTATTTCTTTCTTTCCTTCCTATTCTGTGACTGGCTGGTAGCTGGTCTCTCGCATCCTCTTCTCCTCCTTCTTTCACACCTCGCTCTTCTACTTATTCTCTCTGCCTGGCAGCCCCCCATCCTTTTCTCCTACCTCGCTATTGGCAATCTTTATTAGACCATCAGGTGTTTTAGGCAGGCAAAGTAACACAGCTTTACATCATTAAACAAATGTTCCACAGCATAAACAAATGTAACACATCTTCAACTATATTCTCCAACATGTTTGGGAGCTGTTCTTATTAGCTGCTCTGGCGTCACACACTGGTAGGTCTCTCTCCACTGTCCATTCTCTGAATATAACTAACAAGTGAAAAATCTGTGGTGGAATCATGATGTCAACTTTTGTGAACTGATATTTTAAGAAACAGCCTTATGAAAACAGCGTTATTATCATTTCTAAGGATGTACTTGATAATCTTTGGTGATACTGTGCTAGTATCTTTTATGCAGAAAAAATTGGCTTAATATGTCATAATACTTAAAAGCAATTGTTTTTTGTTTAGTTGGGTGGTTTGGATTTAAATCTTATAAGTAGTGAATAGAATAACTAGTAAGGTTTCTGTAGTTGAGTTATCTCCTTAAAAAATTTTTTACTCACCAAAAATTAAACTTGTAAAGTATGTTGGCTTTATTTTGCAACTCTTGACCTTATTTCATTTTCTGTTATAATTGTTTATCATTTATTTTTAATTGATTCCATTTCCTTCCATTTTATATCTCTTAAGAGACTTTTAATCCTTATGAAAAATATGAACTACAAATCAGCTAGAAATTAAGTGGAAACTTGGGGATACTGTACCTGGGCAGAATTCCTTTTTTAAATCTTGTATTGTTTCCACTCCTTATCTCTAAATTTATATTATTTAAAATGTGTATTTATTCATTGCTAATGATTCAGTACTTTGCAAAGGAATGCCAACACATTTAGATACCCTGGCGTTTCTATCGCCTTTGTACCTTACACAGTACTTTACACATATTGAACTGTTCATAGATGTATTACAAATAAAAACAAATACGCAAGTATATATTAGGGACAGTTTGTCACTTGAGATATGCTGCAATAGAGCTGGCACAGTGCTACATACGTGTAATCTCAGCACTTGGGAAATTGGACTAGGGTGAGCTACTGAGAGTTCAAGGCCATCCAGGGTACACAAGCAAGCCTTTTCCTATAAAACTAAATGCTTGGGCCTAGAGAGATGGCTCAGTGGTTAAGGGCATTGCCTGCTCTTCCAAAGGTCCTGAGTTCAATTCCCAGAGACCACATGGTGGCTCACAACCATCTGTAATGAGGTCTGGTGCCCTCTTCTGGCCTGCAGGCATACATGTAGACAGAATATCATATACATAATAAGTAAATAAATATTGCCGGGCCATGGTGGCGCACGCCTTTAATCCCAGCACTCGGGAGGCAGAGGCAGGCAGATCTTTGTGAGTTCGAGACCAGCCTGGTCTACAGAGCTAGTTCCAGGACAGAATCCAAAGCCACAGAGAAACCCTGTCTCGAAAAACAAAAAAACAAAAAAAAAAAACAAAAACAAAAAAAACTAAACCAACCAGCCAAACAAACAAACAAAAAAGTGCTTCAGTCACTTTTCTGCATATCCAGTGCTAAAATGTTAGTGCTTATCTCTTAAAAGACATTTGGGGGTCGTGCTTCTTGGTAGTTTGCCATTACTGTTTTCACAGTTCTATGATTCCCACCACCATGTGGTGCAGAGGAAGACTGCTCCTGCCTCAGTACGCACTGATGCTTTTTGTGCACAGGTAGAGACTGGGCTTTCCCCTTCCATGTGTTGATGGACTACCTTCTATAATCGACATTTTGACAATGATGGCAGTAATAACAGCGGAGATAATAGGGTTTTCTGGAAAGAGTATTTGGTGTCGGTCTCCTACTCTTTAACTTCAAGCCCATCACTAGTGTTTTTATCTGAAGCAAAATACTTGAATTTATTCAAGATTTTTTTGCATAATAGTAATATAATAATTGCTTTAATTTGCATTTTATTGTTGCATTGTATGCATTTATCCAAGCTGAACTATTTGTGGGCAGCACAGGTGAGCATATATCACTGGGTTACCCACTCCATGCCAATTACTCTTCAATATAAACAGAAGATTAGTGTGAAACCTGAGACTTGGCAGAATCTGAGAAAGCATGTGTATTAAAGAAATAAAAAATTAGGATGGAGACAGAGGATGAGTGGGAAGAAGCAGCATGTGAAATTAATTTTCAACTATATCAATTCTCAAGCCTCTCAATTCATGGAATATCAGATAATCTAAACTTCTAATGATTGCCACTGGAGAACACAGTGCTGATATGATTAGGGCCCTCATTCTGTTTGTCAAACCACATGCCTAAGTCATAGCTAACACAGAGTAGAGTTCAGATTCTGACTGCTCATTCTTTCACCTCAAGTCCACTGTCCATGGAAAGTGGGTTCTGACCAGCGCCCACAGTCACAGAGTAAGCCTGCACTCGGCTGCCTTATCTACAGAAATACTACTGACAAAGGAGAGTAATGAGAAGAACAGAAGGAGCGAACTTCCACAGGCCTCTGAGGTTGAGTAGGATGGGGTATGCTGCTGCTGCCTGCTAGCTGTGGACTGTCTGTCACTCCTCGTGTTTTTGTCTTGTGCATTCTAGTTTCTTCTTACCTTGGCTTTGCATACCCGTTATAGTAGTGACAGCCTATACAGAGAAACGTGCGCTGTTTGCATGGAAGTTAAATGACTTAAAATTCTTTCTTCTTTATAAATCTGAGTCTAAATATTTTGGTTGGAAACAGATTCAGGAGCAATCTTGCCACATTTCTATGGGTGAGATCAAAAACTAGCTTCCATTTACAGGTAGAAACAATGAGAAGAGGGCATCTTATGTTCTCTAGAAAATGAAGGGGGTGTAGGGGAAGCTGTGAGTGCTGTTTCTGCAGATTGGGGGAGTTCCAGAAGCCAGCCTCTGCCAGTCCTGCTTGACATGAGAATCTCCCCGAGTCTCATTGTGTGGTGACTTTCATTTCCTTCTCGTGGCTCCCCATCAAGAGGAATGATGAGCCCATCCATCTGATTTGCATTCAGAATGGAGGTCCATGCCATCTGTGGGGAAGCAGTGCCTCTCTGCAGTTCCTGTCTGTCTTCCCCATTCCTGCATCCAGGACATCCCCTTCAGCAGCACAGCAGGAAGGGAATTTTCGTCCATTTCAGCAAATACTCACAAAAGAAAATATCTCAGTCGTAAAGCTGCTGGTAACTTCAGACCAGCATCTAGAATTTGAAGCAATACTAGATTTTTATCGCTGGCGTATGTGTGCGCAGAATGGTTCTACAGAATACAGAGCTGTTTTGTTGGATAGTATGCAGAAGATCCATCTCCCGTTGATTTTAATCTAAAAATCCTCTTCTGCATCAAGCTGTGACTTAGAAGTCATTTTATTTTGATAGATAGGTTTTTGTTCAGTGATGATCAGTAAATGAATTTCATTTTTAAGGTGTCAGAACTTGCAAAGTTTAAGGAATGCCTTTAAATTTATTTAGTTTTGTCGAGAAACACTACTAATGTCATGAAGAGTGGAGATTTCTCATGTATTGGACTGTACTTCCTGGTAGAGAGTCTTTGCAGTTCATAAAGTACAGAAGAAAAGAGAGGGCAGGACACTGTTAGATAGCTTATTTATTATCACTTCAGCCAGAGGGAGTTAATGGTCATAAGGTTTATTTGAATGAATAGCCAGTAATAAGGCTTTACATCGAATTGTAGTGTTAGAAACACACACATACTCAGACACACCACATACACACACCACACACACTCACACACTACACATACCCTTTTATGAGTTTGTAAGAGTTCATAGTCAAAGGATGAGCACTAAGGGACAAGTTGAAGCAGTGAATTGCAGAGGTTGTAGGAATTAAATGAGTTCTTTCTTGACAGTCATGCCTTGAGCTGATTTGTGATATTCAGGGTTGTAAATTACCAGCAAGGTTTTCCGTGGAAAAGAAAGGACGTCTTTGTTGTAACTAAGGCACATACGTAGTTTGGTTTCAAGTGAGATGGGAATGACCTAATCATTTCCTTTTTGTAGTGACAGAAATCTTTTATATTTGTCTAAAATGTCAGATAATTCCCATCCCTATTTTTTTTTAGATAAAGCACTTATGTATGATAATCCTTTCTTGTTTTATAGACCCTGTCTGTTTCACTCGAATCTTCTTTAATAGTATATAAGTTATGGCTTACGATCTTTAAAATGTGTTCAGTTACAGAGTTCTGCCACTGTTCTGTCTGATACTGATCAAGAGATTACCCAGAGTGTGAAATGAAAAAGAGGCCATAGGTTGATTTGTTTATCTTGATTGAAGGGAAAATTAAAAAATTTTAGCATTTGAAAAAAATCATTGAAAGCTTTCAAGATTGGCTCTTTACTATAATGTTATGAAATGTACTCTGTGTCTAATGATTTTGTTCTTTAAGATAAAAACATAGACAATACAGAGGGCACTAATTAGGCTTAATATTAAAAAAAAAGAGGACAGGAAAATGGGAAGAGTGAGTATTGGAGGTTCCAGGCAGAGTAGAAGGGGGCCTTATTGGGCATGATCAAGATGTATTGTTGACAAAAAAAATAAATAAAAACATTATTTTAAAAAGCATATTAAGAAAAAACTGAGTCTATATGGGCAATCTGACACTCATAAATCAAGAGAGAGAGGGGGGGGAGGAAGGGAGAAAGGGAGGGAGGGAGAGAGGGAGAGAGAGAGAGAGAGAAATCATGTTTAGAATTGAAAAATAACTACTATGAATTCTTATGTCTGCCTTGCCATCTTTTGTTCAGCTGATTATGCCTGTCTTGATCAGTTCAAACAAGCTTTTATCTTAAGAATAAAGTGTTCATTAACTTTGAAGATAAAACTAATCACATGGTTTTATAAAGTATCATTCGTTTTTAGGCTTGGCTGAAAAAAAAGGAATGGAGAGGAAATGGGAATTAATATAGTTTCTTGATGACTGGCTTAGGTCAGATCAGAGGTCATCATGCCATTTCCTAATAGGCTTTATAGACAGCCTTCAGCAGTCCTGTTGTCTGCCGCCGTCTTTACCTGCTCTTACAACGTCTTTCACACTGTACCCCTGTCTTGCCCTTCATGTTTTGACAGTGCCACCTGTCGATGGTATCTTAGCTGTATTCTTTCTTGGGGTCTTTGCTCATGCTGGCTTCTCCATCTAGCGTTCATATTCCTCTTCTTCGCCTAGTAATGCCACCTTTTCCAGAAAGTCTAAACTACCTGCCACATCAGGCTAGATTAGAACTCCCTCCAAATTCTGTCTGTTATCTCCAATGCAGTCTCCCCCTTTTTTATGACCACCCCTTTGTGTGTCTAATTCTTCTAGAATGTGTGCTCTTTGAGGGTAGTACTCTGTATTACTCATTTTTTTCATCCTTGATACTATCGACAACACATAATGTTAAAGCTGGGCCAGTGAGATGGCTTAGCAGTTAAAGGTGCTTGTCACCAAGACCCACATAGAAGAGAACTTTCCCCCAGTCTGTCAGGTTGTCCTCTGACCTCCACATGTGCAAGTCCAAGCCTACGCATTTAGCAGCAGAACGTATTATACTGCTGCTGCCCCATGCTGTGTAGAACGCTGGCCAAGTGTAGTAGTTGCCATTGCCGCCTCTTCCACCTCTGACCCTCATCATTCAGTTACATAAAGAACACGTATAGGTCTTGCTTGGTGCCTTTGTGTTAACTCAGAGAACAGGCTGCCCAAAGGTACACAATGCTGTTTTCATAGACTGATCCATTTACTTTTAGCCTGAACGGAATTATAAGTATTCTCTGTGCTAGTTGCCTTTAGAGCCAGTTTGTGTTCTGTCCTTTCTGAGAAGCAAGCTCTAACTAGGCCTGTGTCCATCCAGGAGCACTCCACACTGCGGAAGCCGAAGCTGCTTCTCAGAGTCTGACTCAGATATATGCCTTGCCTGAAATTCCTCGAGACCAAAATGCTGCTGAATCCTGGGATAACTTAGAAGCGGTATGTTAAGCGCATTTTCTTTTTGGTAACTGTGCGATGTAAAAGTAAGTAATTCCCTCCCTCTCTCTCTTCTTAAAGGACTTAATCGAACTTAGCCACCTGGTCACTGATTTCTCCGTCCTAGTAAATGTAAGTATTGAACTGAGTAAGGCTCAGAACTAATCAGTCACTGTCCTTTTGATTAAAATTTTAATAGCGGTCACTCACATATATTTAAAACATTTACTTTTATTTTTTGTGTACAAATGTTTAGCCTGCATGTATGAATGTGTAACACCTGTGTATTTGATGCCCACATGTCAGAGGAGGGCGTTGGATGCCCTGAAACTGGAGTTACAGGTGTTTTTGAGTTGTGGTATGGGTGCTAGGAACCAAACTTGGGTCCAATGCAAGAGTAGCAAGTGCTCTTAACCTATGAGCCTAGATTATAATTTAAAAATGATATTGAACTATGAATACGGTCCCAGAATTCTAGATCAGTTTAATAAATATTATGTAAAAAGTATTTTGCTGGATTCTCAGTGTTGGAAGTCTGACTAAGTTGCACATAGACATAAATCAAGTCTACTTTCTGCCTTTGGGGATTCCATGGGAGGAAGACGTGGGCTGTGACTCTCACACTTAGTTTTCAAGCATGATAACTAAATGCAAAATAAAGTGAGAAGCCTCATCAGCTTCAAGAAGAAGCATGTATTCCAGGGAGGGAGGCGTGGTTTATGAGACAGCAGCATTAAAGCTACCATCACAGGCTGGTATTAACGTGAGCCTTGAAGAATGAGTAAATGCTCCCAGAGGGCCACAAGGGATGTTCTTTCGAACAGGTGAACTAGGACAAGACATGGTGAGTTCTGTGGACTGTCAAAAAGTTCTGAGTATACCCATTATTCAAAGTACAAGGGACACACAGGGATTGATGAAGGCCAGCTTGTGCTGCTGAATTTGGGTTGCTTTGTGGGCCTGAAGGAGCTGGTACAGATGTCCTGCGATCCAGTTTGTGCCTTAGGAAGACTCTTACAATGAAAGGGAGGTCATGGGCACGGTGACTAGCTGGGAACCAGTTATAAGAATTTAACCTGTAGGTAAAGTAGTAATACTTACCTATAGAGTGTAAAGGATGCTCAGAATCCTTTGAGGATCTTTTTGAGGGTCAACCTGGAGGTGAAGTCAAAGACAGGAACCTTTAAGGCCTGAATGAATCTGTTGTCATAGATTAGGGAGCACGTTATAGTTTTGGTAGGAAATATAGTTTTTTAAACAGTTTTTTGTTTGTTTGTTTTCTCCTGGGAATTATAGAAAGGTATGGTGTGTGAATACCTGTTTACACAGGTGCAAAGTAATTTTGGCTTGTGCTCTGGCTAGGCTAGTTCCCTGTTCTTGCTCAGGCTGTGAATTGCAGCCCAGCTTCTCTGCATCGTGGCTTCCCTAAGGCCTGGTTTTGAGGTGGAAACTCCTAGAGCACAGCTCCTCAGGGTGGAATGGGGGAGGACTCCAGAGCTTGCTAGTCTAGCCCAGTACTCTGCCCCAGTTTCTCAGACCACTAACTTCTAACTTTTGTCTTTCTAAAAGTTAAGGGTGTGACACTGATGCTCAGCCATTCTTTTGAAGGTTGTAGGAGGGGTGGAAGCTCTTCCTTGTGTAAATTCTGTCAGATAATTTTTCTTGGGCACTTTTGTCCTCTAGAGCCGCATATGGAAGAGTTTGTTTTCTTTCAATATAAGAGGTTGTCAAGGTTTTGAGATGAATGTTCTTGTTTCTTTGACCTATCCAGACACATTTTCATTTCTTAGAAATGCTCTCCTTTTGCAGCTCTCCTGTATCAATGATTTCTAGACTTAAGGTCTAGACTGTCTAGTGTTAGCCTTTTCTTCTTATGGTCTATCTTATGACTATTTTCCTGGAGAAATGACTGACATTGAAAGCAATAGATTGTTTGAATTATTACTGATACCTCTAAGTCAAAAGAAAAAAATGTTAGTAGTCTCTAGACTAGCTGTCTCTATGGCCTGTTATTATTTTGCAGATGGCGGGGAATGATACAGGAGTCCCCCAACACATGTGTTGTTTACAATCAAGATCTATCCAATTATTGTAATTAATAATCTCTCACTCTAATGCAGTTCATAAAGTATGTGTATGCATGGTTACATAAATATATGTACTTGCCAAAGCCATCAATCTGCACACTTAAATGTGTTTCAATATATGTAAATTATACATCACTAAGGTTGATTTAAAAAAACAAACTAAAGGTATACTTAGCTCTTATCCAAATAAATTCATTTTCTCTTCTGGTGGGTAAGCATATGAAAGAAAAGAATAGAGTTTGTGGAGAATTAGCAATTGTGTGTTCAGTTATTTTATATAGTAAGCAGGTCACAACCCAGTCTCACCCGGGAAGGTTCCGGCCACAGCCACAGCTCCATACAAATGTCCTAGTTATAATCGTCTCTGCAAGGACACGAGACGCAGTGCTGTTTGGCAGAAGCTCAAAGGAGAGCCATGATTGTTATTCCCAGGATGATTGAGTTCTTGTGACACATGGCCAAGAAGTCACAGAAGCTCCATTTTGGTAGAGAATAAGCAGGAGCAAGGAGTGACCACATCCTCTGGTGTCACATGGATGTGATTGTATCGGGACAGCCATATAGTTAAAGAACTTTCTCTGGGTGCACAGCTGTGCTGAACTCAGGAGGATCAAAAGGCCCGAGGGTAATGCTGCCGATGCCTCTGTATTGTGAATAATATGCCACAGAGTTGTACACTTGCAAGTCATTAGATATCAAGGTGTAGATAGTTTGCTGTAAACAGGATTCACGAAAATAATGAGAGATTACAGTATGGCCCAGTAACTCTGAGTAGATTAATATCTACAGGCCCCTGTTCTGCTTGTGCAAGTGCCCCTTTCTTGTGACCAACCCATTTCCTTTTGGTCAAGGAGAATTTAAAGAACTCTGGGCCAGAAGTTGGACAACATGCTACCCCTTATTGCTGGGTCTGTTTTGACTTCTATCTTTTTCTCTGTGGCTTTTGAAATCCAATTTTGTTCTGGCTGCATTAGAATAGGACTGCAGTGGATTCAGCTAGATTTTTCCATGCATAGCCCCCATGAACTTTAGCATGTTATTTGGCAGCAGGTTTTGCAGACCCGATGAAAGGACTACCTCAGACAGCATCTTTCCTCTCTCATCCCCATCTACCTCAGCTATTCTGCAGCCTTGTTTTGGGTCTTCCCCTTGCCACCAGCATCCTTAAGTCCCCTCCCAATGCAGTGTTCCCTCTCCACCCTGCTTATATCCTTTACTAGGCCAAGATAACCATTGTCTCCCTGTGTGTCACATTTCGAGTTCTTCCTGAGCTCTCCTGAAACTGATTTGCCCCTATAACTGCTTCTACAGATTTGGCTACTTTCAGGCCAATAGGGCAACTAATTGAATATTCCTTAAAATGTGCCTTACAAGTGACTTAGTCCATTGTTAAAGGGATACTGAAAACACTTCTGAGTGCCACAGAGTAAAATGCCAGGCTGGGTATGGGGGGGTGAAAACTGTTCGGTATGAGAAATCTAGGTAGACGAAGACAAACTTAAACAAATCAGAAGCAAAGAGGCAAAATAAGTAGATGAAGGCAGAGGCCCTGAGTCACCATGTTGGGAGAAGCCTGATCTCATAGGCTGTGGTAATGTTATTTTTGTGCAGGTTGGCCCCGGGTAAAGAGCTAAGGATTTAGCTCTAAATGCAGTATAGTTTCATATTCTCCTGATAGTGATTGAAAGCTAACTACAATCATTGTGGATATCACCAAGTCCTTCTTACGCATGAAGTAGAATCTAAAGATACAGACAGTTGGAAAAATGAAGCCAAACTAACAGGAAGAAGCAGCTAGGTGTGTTTAATTGAGGGATGTTTGTTGACCCAGGGTAGGGCTTTCTGCCCTCTGGCTTCTCCTATCCCCATGTCCCAGCAAGCTTCCCAAGGTCTGTAGTACTAACAGAGGTAGGCTACAACCCCAGGACAGATAAACTCATCTTGGACTGGTAGTTGCACTAATGAATGCATTACAGTTGAAATAATGAGTGTTTATAGGTCGGGCATTTTCCTGGTAGTCTTTTCTCTGATTTTCCCAAAGGATTTATGTAGGAAAAATTAGTTATCTTAAAATTCTACTTTAGGGCTGGAGAGATGGCTCAGAGGTTAAGAGCACTGACTGCTCTTCCAGAGGTCCTGAGTTCAATTCCCAGCAACCACATGGTGGCTTGCAGCCATCTATAATGAGACCTGGCGCCCCCTTCTGGCTTGCAGGCACGTGGAAGGAATGCTATACACATAATATAATAAATAAATAAATAAATATTTCAAAAAAAACAACAACAAAAAAATTCTACTTTAAACTTAACAAATCACTGCCATGATTTGAATGAGAGTGACCCCAATAAGCTCATTTATTTGAATGCTTAGTTACCAGAGAGTGGAACTCTTTGAAAGAATTAGAAGGATTAGGAGGTATGGCCTTCTGGGAGGAAGTTTGTCACTGGCATGGGCTTTAATGTGTCAAAGGCCCATGCCAGGACCATTGTCTGTCTCTTGACCTACCGATTAGGATGCAGCTCTTAGGTGCTTCTCCAGTACCGTTTGTACCACTATGCTCCCTGTCACTCTGCTCCCTGCCATGATGACGATGGACTAAGCCTCTGAAACCTTAAGCAAGCCCCCTGTAAGTGCTTTCCTATAGAAGAGTTTCTTTGTTATTGTTGTCTTTTCACAGCAACAAAGCAGTGGCTAAGACAGTCATAGTGTCGCAGTATCCAAAGTTTTAGGAAGGGGCACAGACATAAATAAATCTTCCGGAGGTCTGTGATCACTTGGAGTGTGGACTTAGGAATAGCCCTAGCAGACTTCTCCCTCAGCTCTTCATCCTCTACTTTAGCCATAAAGATGTAAAAGTTGGTGCTAGGATTTTACTGCAGTGGCTCTTCTGCTAGCGTAGATTGCTTCAGGCAAGAGTGGGAAGCAGACTGAAGCCCTGCAGCGGTCAGGAATACAGGCAAGTTGGATATTGTTGGTGCTGGCACTTGCTTCTGTGGTAGAAAGCTGACTGAAAGGAGCTTTGCTGTTGTAAAAATGAAAATCCAGTGAACATAAGGGAGACTTGTTATCTGAGAACACCATCAGGAGCAAGCTCGATAAACTGTTTTGCTGGAAAGATGAGAGTTAGCATTTCCTCGGTAAAACCAGGATGGTGTTTCTGTTTTCCCATTGTGCTTTGTGGATGGCTCATTGTATCCCCCTTTTACCACACTGTAGGAGAAATACCATAGTCCTCGTGTAGCAGATGAGAATACTTGGCCCAAGAACATACCAGGGCTACAGAATATCTTATATTTTGTGCCAGTCTTAATCATGGAAGATAGTGATGTTCAAAGTATGTGAAATGGGAGGCTGAAAAGATGGCTCAGCAGTTAAGAGCATGTACTGCTCTTGCTGAGGACCTAAATTTGGTTCCCAGCACCCACACAGGATGCTTACAACTTCCTCTAACTACAGCTTCAAGAGATCTAATACCCTCTTCTGTATTGTGCATGTGTGTGCGCTCTCTCTCTCTCTCTCTCTCTCTCTCTCTCTCTCTCTCTCTCACACACACACACACACACACACACACACCGACAGACATACTCAGACTGTATTTCAGGACTGCCACATCAAAAGCTTGTGTTTCCAGAAACTTCGCAGGTGATCTGGTGTATACTCAAGTTTCAGAGCCTTGGCTATCCTTGTGTGACAGATTCAAAAGAAATCGGAACAAGTACTATTTTAGGAATTGTTAGGGATGTCGAGATGGTGGTGGAGAATCCTGGGATGAAGGGCCACCACAAAAGGCCTGGCAGAGAGAAGGTACATGTTGGCCGGGAAGGAATGCCAATAATGCTAATAGGAAACAGCTGGGGGCTTGTGAGCAGTGTTGTGCTTACCTTCTCTTGTGAAATGCTGAGTGGGATAGGAAGCTTTAGCTTTGTGTGCCTCAATCTAAATAGGTTTAACATAAAAGGCAGTTGAATCACTGTGTAAGGAGCATTATGTGGAGTAGAAGAGAGGGTCTCCTATGTTTTTCTGCAAAGAAGTGAAAGAAATTACCCGTGTCCTCATGTAGTGATCACATGCTTTTCTACATCAGATAGGACCTAATGCACTTCACCATCAATATGGGTGCATATTATGGTATATAACTAGTTAACTAACTATATATATACATATATATACACCTATATGAGTGTCCATATATACACATATATACCTATTAAAACAAAATAAAGGGCTGGAGAGATGGCTCAGAGGTTAAGAGCATTGCCTGCTCTTCCAAAGGTCCTGAGTTCAATTCCCAGCAACCACATGGTGGCTCACAACCATCTGTAATGGGGTCTGGTGCCCTCTTCTGGCCATCAGGCATACACACAGACAGAATATTGTATACATAATAAATAAATATTTAAAAAAAAAAGTTGGTCTTGATGAGATCCTGGTTCCAGGGTGAGGACAGTGTTTGTGCCTGAGGTGTCAGTCAGAGCAGAGCTTGGTAGCCATTCATGAGTGGCACTGAGGTGGTTCGCACATTAGAGAAGAAATGGCAGTCCCCAGCTCCACCATTCATCCATCAGGGATCCCAGGAGTCATGATCGTTGCTGCATCAGAGCAGGTGTTACTGTTTTAGGTAGACTGCTGTATTATATTATTGATCTGAACTATCTTAACTTGAACTATATTTTATTTAGTAAAAAGGTGTAAAACTCAAGACCACAAATTCTTTCATTTCTCCCTATTGCATATCAAAAGTACAAAGATCTCATGCTGGATTATACCATGTTGTAGTGTCATTCTTACAAAAGAACAGTTTGTATTTGTTGGGTCAAAGGCATTTTACTCTTAAAGTAAATTTGATTTAAACAGAATCTCCAAAGAAGATAAGTTATGGACTTTGTTTGAATGTTTTCCTTTTTTTTACTATCAAACCCAACATGACATGTAAATGCTTATTTGGATTTTTTTTCTTCCTACAAAGTAGGTTCATTTGGAGAATAATATGTTTGTATGTTTGAATGAATTCCAGTGTAAGGTGCTTTTTGCTGTGAAGGTGCCACCCTTTTATTACCCAGTCATTAAGTCCCCCCTTTTTCTGTGAGAGTGAATTTGTACTTTCTACATGGTTTATCAGATGCTATTAATGAACCACTATTAAGACTGCAAGGCTGCAGCACCCGGGGCCTGATTACAGGAATTAAAATAGTGTGTGTTGGCTTCCCACTGCTCCCCAGCAGGACCGCTCACTCATAATTCCTTTGCATCTAGTCTCAGCAGGAGAAGATTGACAGCATTGCAGACCATGTCAACAGTGCTGCTGTGAATGTTGAAGAGGGAACCAAAAACTTGGGGAAGGTAAGATCCTGCTCCTGCTGACAAATCAATGGTACTCCGGCTCCCAGGAATCTCTAGTATTAACCCGATTGATCTGCTCTCTTCAGTGTTGAGGGAACCAGCAATTAAGGAAATAAGGAAGAAATGACACATAGGTAGTGTAAGAAATCAATGGCTGTAATATTCTACTCCCAGATTCATTCTATCGTCAGAGATTTTTTTTTTTTCTCAGAGAAAATGAACTGTGGTCTCACTCTGGGGCATTTAGTTGTTATGAAGGACTATATGCAGAGGCCTAGGGAGAAGAGAGAGCGGTCCATTAATCCAGCCAGAGCCAAAGTGAGACTGCAGCAGCACTGAGGAGTGTGGCCATCTGTTATCCGGATGATGTTGTTCTCAGCCCAGGTGCCTAATGTGGAATAACCCTGTGCTGAATCAAAGCTTTGGTGGGAGCCAGTGGCTGCTGAAACTGTTTAAATAAGCCAGCCAGATAGTGGATTGATTGTTTTGCAAGTAAAATCAATTTGTAGCTGTCCACTCTGGAGCAACCTCCCTCAGTTCTATGGCAATGGCAGTACCTGTGGAATACTTTCACATACACACACACCCCCAACAAGAATAATCTCTGAGGTTAATTATGAGCCCACTGTTAAAGAGGCATTGCCAGGAGTAATGAGAGGAAAACGCACATCACCACAGGCAGATTTTCTCAACTCAATTTCTAAATTGAATTTTTTTTTCTTTTTACAGGCTGCAAAATACAAGCTGGCAGCTCTGCCTGTGGCAGGTGCACTCATCGGAGGAGTGGTGGGGGGTCCCATCGGCCTCCTCGCAGGCTTCAAAGTGGCAGGAATTGCAGCTGCACTTGGTGGTGGGGTGTTGGGCTTCACAGGTGGAAAATTGATACAAAGAAGGAAACAGAAAATGATGGAGAAGCTCACTTCCAGCTGTCCAGACCTCCCTAGCCAAAGCGACAAAAAATGCAGCTAAAGCTCAGGCTTCCACCTGGGCCATGCATCCACCCTAAGGAGCACCTCGCTGCTGCGGAGTGCTCAGCTGCTGGACAGTGTCAGCCAGCCATTCTCCATGGCCGTGTGCTGTTGAGCCTCTGTCACTGGATGCATTTGTTTGCTGGCTGTTAATGGAGATGTTAGGAGTGGAGGAGCCTGGGCCGACGGGTGTGGTGTCTGTCAGGTCCAGTTTAAAGACTGCCAAAGAGCAAATGTTCTGCCTGGAAATGTGAAGATTGAACCTATAACTCTAAGGATCTAAGATGTGTACAAATGTATCAGGCACATGAGGGTCAATGTGTTTATATATTATTTCCTCCTGTAGGGAGAAACAGAATATGAGTTCGGGAGTCTTTCTGTCAGGTAGGGATGTTGTTGCCTAACAAGGGGTGCAGGCGAACTATTTCTGTACTTAGGGACTGATTGTACTTGGATCCATCTATATTTTCTGGTGAAGGAAATTAATACTATAAAATGGAAAGAGAAGCCCACGTTCTCTTTACAGACTGTTCATTGTGACATGGGTGTCCTTTCTGAAGCCTTCCTTGCCTCTCCAGATAAAGAGCACAGAATCTCATAGCTGGATCTACTAACCCAGCCACCTTGCCCACTTGCAGCTGGTGATTCTGAAGGTTCTCTGCTTCTAGGGTGAATTCTATCCATGTAATGAGGATTTTTCTCATAATTCCCATTTTTTTCGTATCATTTTCCATCTTTAGTTACCCCTTCCTGTAATCTCTTAAATTGAAAAAAAGAAAATTTAAATATTTCCAGCATTTTGGGGCAGAAGGAAGTACAAGATCACATCCTGGGCACTGTAGGACTTCAAGGGGCTGACATACCTGCCTCAAGGGGTCTGGGCCTCTCAGTCTTCCGGATGGGTTGAGAAGGAGCTTTCTACCTCACTTCTGTTGCCGTTGCCCTTTCCCAGGTCATCCCTATCCTGCAGTTTTCACGGCTGCTCTTCCTCTCCGTGTTCACACTTAACTTCTCTCCTGCTCTAGACGGCCAAGGCCAAGATTCAGACCCGATGCAAGCTCTGTGGTGCTAACATGGACAGCAGACAGGGTCCAGTCCAGCTCCATGTCTGTCTCAAACAAAAAATTTTGAAATTTAGAGAAAAGGAATTTAAGACTATAGGCAGCCTCATCCTGTATCCCAACTCATTTGAGATAGGAGGGAGCCACTGGTTGCCTTATTTTTTTAATCTCTCCTGAGGAGAAAGCACGGTCAGCCAGGAGCATGGGTTCAAGCATGGTGGGGTGGTGGCTCACTCCTTTAATCCCAGCACTTTGGAGGCAGTGGTAGGTAGATTGCTGTGAGTTGGAGGCCAGCCTGGGCTACAAGGACAGCTAGGCTGTTACACAGAGAAACACTGTCTCAAAAACAAAACAAAACAAAAACAAACAAAAAAAGAGCTGTGTTGATGTTTGGCCTCTGTTGATTGCTATCTTTCCTTCTCTGTCTGAAGATCCTTACCTTTTGTGCTCTGGAGTCTTGCTGATGCATTCCTATGAAACAAAGCACTACATCCTATTAAACTATCGGGAAGTTGCAAGTATTTGTTATCTGCTGACTTAAGACTTTAATATCAAAAAGAGGAAGTACTTTGAATGAGTGTCGGATTGTGATCATTGTCTGACACTGGGAATTAAATATTTGGAGTAATTATTTTTAACTTCATCCTTTTTTCTCTGTTTCTTGCTGCTCCTTTAAATTGGGCATGTCAAACCTGAGCAGGAGGCAGAACTTATCCCAATTTGATTTAAAATAAGATTCCTTTTAAATTTTGTCTTATATTTCAAGATGTGTATCCTGTGTTTCCCTGGCTGTCCTGGAAATCACTCTGAAAACCAGGTTGGCCTTAAACTAGAGATGCACTTGGAGTGCTGGGATTAAAGGCACGTGCCACCACCACACCACCTGACCATAACAAGATCCTTGAGCGGCCATCGCGGGTAATTCTGATACAGCCAGTCCAGCATGCTTAGCTGGAATTCTAAGAATAAGCTTTGTTGTCTCATTGTTTAGTCTCCTGTGTTCTACATCATCTTCCTCATTGCTTAGTACTTACTCTGCCAGTCCCCAAAGTGTGCCATAATAGCCACAGCACGAAGAACCAGGAATGAGGCTTGCATTTGAAACCTGCATCTTCTGGATGCAGTGGGAACTGTTGACATGATCATGAACTGTCAGTATTGGGCTTTTGACTCTAGCTGTCTAAATGCTTAAGGAAGTTACAGTCTTCTTTAAAATTTTATACTTTAGAATTACTTAGAAATTGTACCTCATTTCCCTACAATAACTTTTTGTGGAAATTGCTTAGAAGTGTTTAATCAACTATAAATTATATAAAGTACTTAAAAGTATAAATTAGTTAATATGACACAGAAGTGATCTTAAAATTGAACTTAATATGCCCCGTAGTGTCAAGTTAAATTTATCTTCTCTATGATTTATGTCTAATTTTTATTTCAACCAGTTAAAAAGCACCACTTTAATTAAGGTGGTAAAATTTGTAGATTTTACGTAAAATTACTCATTTCAGTAATAGTAGCACTCTTAAGACTCTTTTTGATGTTATAATCTGAGAATTTCTCTGAAATTTTGGTGTAACCCATAGTAAAAAAAATGTATTAAAATTGAACATATATACATGAAGAATGTTTCCCATTATATGGAATACATTTTGATGTTTTGTTTTTCAACATTGATTTCAACCCACTAATCGATGGCACCCTCAGTTTTCAGAAAACAACCTCCCTACAGAAGAACTGGTGTTTCCCAGGCAGTTAGCCAGGTGCTTTCGCAGGCGTTTATGGAACGGGTAGCTGGGCCTCAGAGGAATTAAGTATTGTACAGTCCTTCAGTTCCAAAGGAGGAAACTGGGTTGGAACTGGGTTTGTTGGTGCTGCACTGCCTCACCCGAAGCCTGGAGACTGTAAGGCCAACTGTGAACAACCCTTGCTGTTCATTTGTTTCTTTGTCTTTTGTGCCTCACCAGGTGTTCAAAGCCATGGCAGAACACAGCACTGCACTGTGTTCTGCTTTATACTCAAGTATAGAATGAAGAGTGCCACTGTCCTTATCCTGCCCCACCTTCTACACATTGGTTTATATCATAGGTTATGATCATTGTTTAAAGTGTCTTATATAATTAAAAATAAACAGTACTTTAAAAAATAAATCTTATAGCTTTTAGAATCAATTAATCATATTCTTTAAATGATGCCCCTGGAAAGCCATGCACACAGGTAGGGTGCTGGTAACAACACTTAGGCTATTTCTGAACATCTGCCACAATATCTGGAACATTTGGATTTGCCACCAAAGAATTGTACATCAAATAAGAAAAGGCACAGACTGTTTTCCCATGCTTTTGTGACCCTGCTCTCTCCCCATCTCAGTTTTGTGTCTTGGTGGCTTACTATCCTACCTCATACACAGAAGCCAGAGACCTAATATGCCTAGAAAGTGAGCATGCTGAAGCTGCCTAGAACTGGTCGTACATCTGGAGCAGGGACTGGGGTTACCCTGAAACTTTTGCATGGCCACAAATGTCCTTCTGCCTGTCTTCTTTTCATGCTGTTTTCTGCAGCGTGAGAATGGGATGCTCATAACACCTACTGTTCGCAAGAAGTTTTGAATCTGAACTACAAATATCTAGCACACAGTATTTCCTTCCAGTAAAAGCCCAGAAGTCAAACCATCCTTTGACTAGTTAGTAAACAGGCATTTTTCAGAAGAGTCCCTTAAGCCCTTCACTGAGAGCACATGGACTCTGGATAGAGGAGGAAAAGCCTGGGGCAAGGGCCTGCTGTACATGCAGTGCCTTCTCAACATAGATTAGAATGTGGCTGTGGTTCTCAAGTGCTTACAGGTATCTGATGACATTCTCAAGTAGATGGAAGTCTAACAAGGCAAGGGTGCGTCTTCCCTGACCCACTCATAAGACACATTCAGATTCTTTGTGTGTGTGTGGGGGAGGTTGCTTTTGTTTTTGTTTTTCTGAAATAGGGATTTACTGGTATCCAGGTCGATTTTGAATTTGCGATCCTTCTGCTGCCATCTCTCAAATTCTGGGATTATAAGCATCTAACTCTGTTTTATAACTGTTATTAACACTTGTGTTTCTAGCAAATGGTTCTATTTGGGGTCTTCAGTTTGACACCTTTTCACAAAGTGTTGAGTGTTGTAAATAACCAACAAGAGTTATGTATCTACATTGCTCCCGTCAAAGAAGTCAGTTTATGACAAAAATGCACCTAGGCGATAGTAACCAAACATATATACAGTGAAAACATTGGCCAGTGGTTTGCCCAAGACCACAAAGCTACTTTGTGTAAGATCTAAGAGAATGATATGGGGTGTGGGGGGACCCTCCATGTGTTTTTTTATTAGGTTTCATTATGCCATGTCAAGTTGCCTGCTGGAGATTCTCAGCACTTCAGTGGTCCAGATCAGGCAAAATGGAAAGAAGTGTTCTTGGAGGAAAACAGATGCAATCGCTTAGCCTTCCAAGCAGTGTCAACCTCAGCACTTGTGCCTCTGCAGCCAACGCAGAAGGAGGCCCCTTTAACATGTTGGCAGGTAAGGCCAAGGAAAGGTGAAATGGCAAGAATTTCTGCAAAATTAAGTTTTTCCTGAATTGGTTTATCATTTATTACGTTGCTGGATGGTGCTTGAACAAGGAAATACGAAATAAAATCCACCCATTTAACAAACATTAAACTGACTTCCTGTTGTGTATTGAATAATAGTGTCATACACTGAAAGATAGATCTGTAGATGCTATCATAGTGAGCCCCGAAACTACCTGAAGTGGGTATGTCACACCAACACATGCTAAGTACCAGGAAGAAGATGGACAAAATATTAGAGTTCTCGGTGAAGGAATAACTGGAAACAAACAGGAAGGCTTTGCAGAGCTGTGTTTGAGCAGTAGGTAAGGAAGAATATGCCTGATGGAAGAGGGGCTTTCAGTTTCAAGTGAATGGGAATCCATGAATGTAAAATGACATGGGAACAGTCAAGGAGTTAATAACAAGAACACGGAATTGAACAGATGTATTAACAATGCAGCTGGTGACGGGATGCAGGAGAGTGGCAATAGATATCTAAAATACAGTAATTCTTTGTTTACTCTAGATCAGTGCTTCTCAGCCTTCCTAATGGGACCTCTGAGATAAAATAATTTTCATTGCTATGTCATAACTAATTTTGCTACTTGTTATGAATCATAATGTAAATATCTGTATTTTCTGATAGTTTCAGGTGACCACTGTGAAAGGGTCCCCTTCTTGCCAGAAATGTTCCTTATAGTGGCCGGCGCTTTTGGTGTATTTAGTGTAGTTGCCTTCCTTTCTTACCTCTCATTTGTGAGATCCCTGTTTAACACCGAATGCTTACCTTGTGATGATTACTCCTTCCATAAACACTTACTGGAAACCCATGAAGAAAAGCCATGGAACTTACCTTTTGGTGCCCAGGACCTCCCAGGCTAGTTTGCCGTGCTCATGTTTTCTGACAGATGCTGTTCACTAGCTCCCATTTTTCCACTTTCACCTGTGGGTTTTTTCAGAGTTGAATTCTTCAAAGTTGAAATTTTCTCCTTAGAGGTAATAGGACCTCTCTGATTAGACTGGAAGATTCATTTGGGATGTGACCATACATTTGCATCTTTGATTTTTTTTTCTTTTAGCATGAAATACAGTCATATAGCCGGGCGATGGTGGCGCACGCCTTTAATCCCAGCACTCGGGAGGCAGAGGCAGGCGGATCTCTGTGAGTTCGAGACCAGCCTGGTCTACAGAGCTAGTTCCAGAACAGGCTCCAAAGCCACAGAGAAACCCTGTCTCGAAAAACCAAAAAAAAAAAAAAAATATGAACACATGAAATGCAGCCATGGCATCTGAGTCTTAACTTTGGAGGTGTGTAACAAACATGCGAAAGCTAGGACATAGCTGATCTTTGTGTGTTGCTCACTTTTGCCATTAAGAGGGAAACAAGAGTCAAGAGAAGTAATCTGGGAAATGCATCAAGCACTGGAATGCCAGGAAGAGTCCTGAATTTGGAGATGAAGACATTTCTCTGTCAGATTAAAAGTCCTGATCAGGAAGAAAGATCCCGGATCTCCATCACAGCAAAAGTGCCATGAAATTTTTTTTTTCAATCTACTGTTTTACAGTTGGATTGTAGGATTAGTAGGGGTCTACATTAGTTACTTTTCTTGTTGCTGAGACAAATAACAAAAGCACTTAAGGAAAAAGAAGGTTTATTTTGCCCCAGTCCCAGGAGTTTGAGGCAGCAGCTATTGGCATTGCATTTGGAGCTGGGAAAGTCATGAGTGCTGGCACTTAGCATCCTCCATGTACTCCGGGACCCCAAACCATGAACTGGTACAGCCCAGATTAACCTAATTTAGAAACTCCCTTGCAGACATGGTCAGAGGCTTGTTTTGATGTCTGGTGATTCTAGATCTTATCAGCTTGGCAGTATTAATCATCACAGGGCCTAAGACATTTACAATAGAGACTAGTATTGAAATAGGAAGTAGCTGAAGGAGAGAGTAAAGGATTTGTTGGGCAAGCAGAGAATGGAATTAGGCAACAGCAAGGCTGAAGCTAAGAGGGACACACTTCGACAGGAGCTGAATCCAGGTTTCTGATGCTAAAGTTCATACACTAAACCCACCAAACAGCCTCTCTTGATAGAACTTGATAGTGACACTATAGTTCCCTTGTCTCGGTGAGTCTTTTTTTTTTTTTTTTTTTTTTTTTTTTTGGTTTTTCGAGACAGGGTTTCTCTGTGGCTTTGGAGCCTGTCCTGGAACTAGCTCTGTAGACCAGGCTGGTCTCGAACTCACAGAGATCCGCCTGCCTCTGTCTCCAAGTGCTGGGATTAAAGGCGTGCGCCACCATCGCCCGGCTGTCTCGGTGAGTCTTATTCACAAAAGATAACCCTGGGTAGGGTTGGGGTCAACAGCTCAAGACATTTTTACAGACCATTCCTTTGATACCTCCTTGCCTATGACACAGAGTGACCTTAATTGTTAAAATGATGTGTATGTTATGCCCAGAATGGTGGTTGGTTAAGACTAACTATAAGTGACTACAGTTACAGCATTTACTATAATTTTCTCCAGTGTGGTGGTTTGATTGAAAATAACCACCATAGACTCACAGGGATGAGGGTGGCTCTCTCTCTCTCTCTCTCTCTCTCTCTCTCTCTCTCTCTCATTTCTGTCCTGTGATTCGCATGTAGAACTCTCAGCTACCCCTCCAGCACCACATTTGCTCACACTCACACCATTCTTCCTGCCACGAGAGTCATAGACTGAACCTCTGAACTGTGAGCCAGCCCCAATGAAATGTTTTCCTTTATAAGAATTGTCGTGGTTCTGGTGTCTCTTCACAGCAATAAAAACCATGTGTATTAATATAAAAGTATTGTGTACCTATAAGAATAGCAAAAGCAATATTGGGTGACACTAAAATGAAGAGATGAGAAAATAATCGAATTTTTTTTTGGATTTTTGAGACAGAGTTTCTCCGTAAATAATTGAATTTTTAAGGGTAAGTGGACGTACTCTCTCCTCTAGACAAATGGTGGTAACATGTTATGCATACTTAAAATTTTTTATTTTAGTATGCAGAGTAGCAGGTTTCATTATGGCATTCCCTCCTGTCTCCCATGTCCCTGCCTGCATCCCAGTATAAAACTTTCACTCCTAGTATTACCCTTTTGCACACCTCTCCCTTAAGGCTTTTTTACCCACCTCGCTCATGGGCCCCTTCCCAGTTTCCTGGCATCTACCCACACTCATTCTCATAAATATACATATATAAAAATTAGGAGCTAAGATCTTCATGTGAGAGAACATGTTTGTCCTTCCAAACCTGGGTTACCTCACTTAATAAAAAAAAAAATCCTGTTTTCCTGCAAAATACAGAATTTCATTTTTCTTTACAGCTGAATAAAATCCCACCATTCATATGAGCCCCATTTTAATTACCCATTCATGTGCTGATGCTTATCTAAGCTGATTCCATTTCCTTGCCACAGTGAACAAAGCAGGAACCAACATGGAGAAGCAAATGTCTCTGATGTACATACACTACACAGTCCGCTTCTCTGAAGTACATACACGTCATGGTCCTTCGGGTGCATACCTAAGGAGTAGTCTAGCTAGAAAATGCTGCGTAGACCAGATGCGCTCCTCTGCCTTCCAATACTGTGATTAGACCTGCACCCACATGCCTGGCCTTGAGAAGTTTGGAGCTTTTGTTATGGAGGTCAGTTTGCTCATGTTGGGGAATTTTTATTATCATTTCCATTTTGCCATTTGTCTTATCTCGGTTTGAGTAGATCATCTGCATCTACAAATCCATCTACTCTTTGCCTTCCGATTTAGTAGAAGATCTATTTTTAAGGTATATCCTAGTTACTTTCTCAGTTTCACTGGGAAACCACCAACAATTCAGAAAATGATTTTAAAAGACAGTTGTGGAGAAAAGGGGTTGTGACTGACAGATGCCTGATAGTCGTTTGTCCTCCAGAATGATACCCAAATATGAAAATGTATGATGTATGGTTAGGAATAGAGTAGTTTTAGTTAGATCTTCATTTGTATCTCATCCTGGAAAATTGTTATGTATGCTCCTGTTCAGTATCAAATGACCAGGGAATAATTTTCCTTTGGTGTATAAAATTTCTGATGTGGTCTGTCTTAAATCACAAGTCAGGCTCATTATGATGCTCACCCCCACCCTTCCTGTGTCACCAGCAATGCCCTGTTTGGCTCTCCTTCCTGGGTATGAATAGGGCGAGGAAAAGCACCAATCATCTTCCAAAATGAGTTTATTCTTATCTAAGGAAGTTCACCACAGGGCACAAGAGTAGACGTAAACTTCCTGTTGCAGCTGTCATTAAATCCTCGGGGCCCATCACATAAGGCCTACGGGGTCATCTTTGATACAAATGGATGGCTTTGGGGAAAAGGGTCAGTAAATACCTGGCAAAACTTAGCATTACAGTATGGAACAGTAACAACAGTGTGATAATACCAGTTTTCCTGAAGAAGAGGACCCTCATATGGGTAGAAGTGTGGTCTTTCTGTGCCTAGTCTAAGGTAGCTGGGTTTTTTTTCCCCCCCTGTGGCTCAGATCATAGCACTTATATGCAATTATAGCCACCATTTTACTATTTTCTCTTCATTCAACTTTTAGCTTCATATCAGAAGGGGGCAGTTTATTAAATACTGAATCTTTAGCCTAGAGTTGGTAGTTTATGCTTACTGACTGGTAAACTTATGGCTTACCACAGCAGTTTTGTCAACTAAATCATTGCCTAAAAGTGGTTGACTAAACTGGGGTCAGATCTTATAGAAAATGTGGAGGTAGGAGAAAATTTCCAGTACCCAACATTGTGTTGCCAAGACAGCAATCATTCTGACAGTTACATATCTCTAGCTGGGTGGGCACTGTGAACTTCTATTTTTTTGGCAGTCTCTGGAGCTTGTAGGTGACTTAACAGGTAGGACTGAAGGTGACAGATTCATTTGTGGGATAATTGTAATTGACTAAATCAGATAATGGAGATAGAGATCTGCTATCAGAATCCATTCCAACTAGAGGGACACTTTCTTGTCCTTGACGTCTTTGCTTGCTTGCCTGCTCTGTACTTTAGCTT